CACCAAGGTCGCTCTTCTCCAGTGACTACCAAGCAAAGCCTTGCCTGTTACATTTGCTTATAGTGGCCTTACCAACTAGAACAGAGTTTTGGGATATGTTATACTGTCTGCATGGTTATCATTTTGTACTCCCTTCCTTTGATCTCTGTCTACGCGTGTCTATACTCCCCTTCTCAACATGAGAATGGTCTCTGTCTGCGCGTTGCTATACTCCCCTTCCCAACATCAGAATGCACCAGGTCAGCGAGGTGGAGATACACCCTAACCCCCCAGGTACCTACTACATAGGGTACTAGAGCCCCTAGGGCCCTATATAGTAGGTACCTGGGGGGTTAGGGATATGCATCTCTTCTGGCCTGCCGGCAGCGGCTGGCATATGCCTGTGGAAATAAGGTTTCGGGGAAGACATGGCTTGTATGGACTCTCAAGGCAGCTGCTGTGGCATGCATCACTGTCAAGGACACGAGAGCTGCAAAGCCAAAACCGCAAGACAGCACTGTCATCGTCACCATCTTCATCAGCACCCTTATCATTACCAACATAATCACCGCCCGTGATCATCATCACAAACACTCCGTTTCAAGTCTTTTGAACCAAATAGGAGTCTTCATTCACAGCATGCCGGTTCTCAGAAAAAAAGAGAACTGCACAAATAACACAGCACATGAATACTATGACTCGACTCACTCTAGCAGCAACTGCAGCACGCGTGCATGATACTAAGACAACCCCTTCGATCAAACATCACACGTTCAATCGCTCTGTAGCTGTGACGGTTGCTGCCAAGTTGCGCCGCGGTGTCTGCTTAGCCTGCTGCTGTTCCCGGACTTTCCTCGCGGTCGAACGAGTTTCGACGCATGCGCAGGCAGCCCCTCAATTTTTAACTCTGGCCTTAACACTGGCGGCCGTTGGGTCGGGGTTACGGTGTGCATCAAATTCATGGAACATGGAACTCTACCATTAAAATCATTAAAACTCACGGCAGCCTAAGATGCGAAATCATGAGACATGCTCTCTCCGCAAACCCTCAACCCTAAACCCTAAATCCTAAGCCCTCAAAGGAGCTTTCAAGGTCTTGAGAAGTCTTTACAGACAGCTGATGCTGTCGCTGGCTTCACGTGACCCTAGACCTAAACGAAGGTCTTACCCAGACCCGCTTCAGCCCTAAACCCTCAACGGTAAACCCTAAACCCTATAGCCCATAGCCCTTAACCCTCAGCCCTAAGCCCTAAACCCTAAAACCCCTACCCTGAACCCTAAACCCTGAACCCTGATCCCTAAACCCTGAACCCTAAACCCTGAACCCTAAAAGCCCCGAAGGAGAGTTTCTTAGAACCAGGGATGTCTTTTCCGAGGTCTTCGTCCTCATAAGGATCCTACTATGCAAGGACTGTGCTCTGGCGGGCTGGCTTTCTGAAACTCCCCACGAGTTGCTCTGTCTGGGTTCGAAACCCGATACCCGAAAGTTCAACTCCCGAAACCGACTAAGTGTAAGGGTGCTACACCCTAAACCCTCAACCCTCAACCCTAAACCCTCAACCCTAAACCCTAAATCCCCAACCCTAAACCCTAAACCCTCGAGTTTCACCCGAAACTCCCTAAATGCTAAACTGGGGGCCCTGTGGGACCTTTCCGGGTCTCGGGATCTCGGATTCCGGGCTTTCGGGGTTCAGGGTTCAGGGCTTTCGGGGTTCAGGGTTCAGGGTTCAGGGTTTAGGGTTCAGGGTTTAGGCTTTAGGGTTCAGGGTTTAGGCTTTAGGGTTAAGGCTTCGGGGTCTCGGGTTCATGCAGGGACTGCTAATGCACACCTGAGCACCCGAGGTCACTGGCCACACCGCTCTCTTGCCAGTCGTTTTCCGGCACACGCTCTATCATCAAGCTGTGAAACATTCGTGGTTCTCCTCAACCCTAAACCCTACACCCTAAACTCTAAACCCTGAACCCTAAACCAACCCTGTCCTTTCGAATCATTACCCACGACCCTGAATCCTAAACCCTAAACCCTGAACCCTAAACTCTATAAAACAAAAAAACAAAACCTCGAAGCCTCGAAGCCTCGAGCCGAGGAAAGGAAACTCCCACGCTCTCAAACCCTCGACTCCCAAAGTCCTAAAGCCGCAAGGCTTCAGGGTGTTTAGGAAATTTAGGGGTTTAGGGTTTAGAGTTTTAGGGTCTGGGGGTTTAGGGTTTAGGGTTTAGGGGCATCAGGGTGTTTAGGTTTTAGGGGTTTAGAGTTGCTGTGGGATGGGGGTGTTGAGCCCTAGAAGCCCTAAAATCTGAAACCTAATCCCCCTGAAACCCTTTCAGAACAAAGCCACACAACGAACTCGGGCGAAACTCAAAACTAGTGGGCAAAACGAGAAGAGACCTTGCACCTACCTGTTCTAACCCTTTAAGCGATTAGCTCTGAACCTTAAGCCCTAAGCCCTAAACCGCCTAAGCCCTCAACCCTAAGTAAACCCTCAACCCCTAAACCCTAAACCCCAAACCTCTAGACCCCAAACCCTAAACCCCAAACACTCAACCCTGAGCCCTACACCGAGAACCCCAACATCCTCAAACCCAAAATCTAAAGCTTCAGCCCTGAACCCTACGGCTTAGGGCTTCAGGGTTTTAGGGTTTAGGGTGGAACCCGAAGCTAAGCCCATACATGGGATACACTCAAAAACCTAACCTTTTTATACACGGAACACATAGCAATGAACAAAAAAAACAAGGTAGGTTATTTGGGTTAAGGGACGGCCCAAACCCTAAATCCTAAACCCTAAACCCCTACAGTAGAAGCCCAAAAGACCCTAAACCCTTAACCCTAAATCCTAAACCCTAAACCCCTACAGTAGAAGCCCAAAAGTTGGAAACCCAATAGCCTCAACCCTCAAGAGTAAATGCACAGGGAATCTCAGCCCTGACCTTACTGCGATTTCCATCTTTTTGGTGTTTACTATAAGCCCCTAAACCCTAAACGCTAAACTCTAGTCCCAAACTCCTAGCTCTGAATCTGGCTGTTCGAGCCGTAAGCCCTCAGCCAGCGCTCTGGCGCGCCTTGGAGACAGAAGGGCCTAAGGTTTACAGCTCAGGGCTAGGATTCTAAGCAGGCTCTTTTTGGAACCCTAGGGCTCCAGTTGCATAAAGAGTGGGTTACCAACCATATACTCTGTACCCCAGTAACCTACCATTGAGGTAACTGGAGGTCTAGGGGAATCTATAAGGGTTAAGGGTTTTGGGCTCCGACTCTAGAAGAACTTCAGCTCTTACAGGCCTTTAAATATATAATGAATCTAAAGGGGCTGAGGTTCAGGGTTTCGGTTTAGGGTTTCGGGTTTAGGGGTTTAGGGGTTTAGGGTTTACGGTTTAGGTTTAGGAGTTTAGGATTAGGTTTTACTGGCGTAGACTTGCTGGAGCAGGGTTTGGGTGTATGGGTTCAAGCTTTGAAGCTACAGTACCCACAAGACAAGGTCATCGCAATTTCTACTGCCGTCGTGTAATGTAGTGGTGTTCCACCCGTAGAAAAAGCTACTTCCCCTAGTGCGGCTCCCTGAATTCGTGCTACATAAGAGCGAAGTCCTGTTACTATACAGTGAACGGTTGAGGGTTTAAAAGGGTTAGGGCTCAGGGTTTTGGGTTTGCAAATGCATCACCTTGACTGAACCCCTTTTCGAAACTTGAGCTGATCGCTGATCCCCGGGTGGTACAAATAGACTCTCTCAATGACTAACCTACGTTGCTACTATCCTAGACTACAAAACCTATTTCTTGTAGGCAAGTTTTGTTGGAACCCTGGAACTCGAAGACAAGCGGCGAAACTTGCGAAACCGTGCAGCAGCTGAGAAATCTCATTCTACTAGACATTACAACTTGTACGCGTAGACAAGCATGAAGTAAGAACACAGCTCTGAAGGCAACACACACACGCACACGCACACATGTGCCCACACATGCCTACACATGTCAGTGACCACATGCACTGAGCAACAATATTAGGAAATCCTCTGCTTTGAGGTCTAGACTAGCTCATGGTTGGGATAGCATTAAATATTTCCAATTTTTGTTCCTTCTTGAGTTTATGTAGCCATAAAAAGCAAAATGTTGCACAAACATGACCAAATAGAAGTGAATCCTGTCGGCTTGCTTTTCACTTGTCACGTCGCATCGCGCCTTTTTGCTTGCGAAGCAATCGCCTGACCGAAAGCAGGCATTCACAGAGGCTCGAAGCACAAGGCATAAGGCCGTTGGTGCGTTCTGGACACGCTTTTGCGGCTACCACCTTACTACAGCTCCTTTTAAGTAGCTGGGTTCTTTGTTTTGGCTGTCTGTTTGCCCCATTTGGGCATTTGTAGTCCATTGAAGCCATGATTGGTCGCTGTGCGCCATGACACAAGAATCCGAAAAAAGCCAGCAAAGAGAAGCTGCATTCGAGCCCCGTCCGAATGTAGAAAAGCTGTTGGACCCTGCCATCAACGCTAATTAAACCCTAAACGCTAAACCCTAAACCCTAAATCCTAAACCCAATGCAAACACAAAAGCCGAGAGCTCGGAGAGATCGCTAGACAGATATTGCTGCTTCTGCATAATCCGACGGTTACCCTAGATAAACCCATAAGTTGAAACCTAAGCCATGTCGATATTTCATTGAAGTCGTATCTGAAATGGCATTCCTATGACTATAGACCCTGACCTCGTGCTCCCTCGATGCGAAAGGTCGGATCCATACGGCTGAGATCCCATCTAAAACTCCATAGACACGCACTTCGCCCTAAAGGTTATAAACCTCAGCCCTAAGCCCAAAAAACATGAAGGAGTAACTCTAGCTTGATGTGATCCCCGTATACCTTAAACGCCGGCAACCTTGTGGCTTTTAGAATTCACCATGACGGCGTTGGGCGCAAAGCTGCGCATCCAGAACTTGGGAAGTAGGGATTTCGGGCGCGATCAGGGCTGGTTCAAGAGTTGAGCTACTTAGGCTGTGGGGGTTTTGAGACTTCTGGCGTGTTTCGGGCATGTCAGAGCTTGCTGAGGGTTCGCTGCAGCTCCTGCTCACCAGCCAAAGTCTGGCCACCGTTCTTGAGGAAAGACCTGAACTCAGTGAATCCATGGCAGCGACAGCATGCAGCTACGTGGGTAGGTACAGTAGGTGTAGGTAGGTATAATAGGTAGGTATAGGTAGGTGGGTAGGTAGGCAGGCAGGTAGGTAGGCAGGTAGGTAGGTGGTAGGTCGCGGGTCGGTAGGTGTAGGCAGGCAGGTTTCGGTAGGTAGGTGGGTTTGGTGGGTACGTAGGTAGGCAGGTAGGTAGGTATAGGTAGGTAGGTAGGTAGCAGCCATACTCATGCATATTGATACAAGGCTTATGTGATCACGTACGTAACTTTTGTCTGTTTACATTTCGAAGCACACAAGATTGTGGTCAGATGTGCCGCAGGTGACTGATGGTGTAAAGTTAAGCATGAATATACGAAATGAAAAGACGATCCGTCCCGCTTGCACGAATGAATGTGCACGTTCATGCCTAAAAAACCCAAGAGCAGGAAGCTCAGAACCCTGGGCGAATCCCCAAGCTTCGATCTTCGACACTGCAGCAACAACATCCAGACCCAAAACCCTAAACCCCAAACCCCAAACCCCAAAACCCTAAACCCTAAACCCTAAACTCAACACCCTCAACCCAAAACCCTAAACCCCCCCCAAAAAAGGCTCACACATCAAGCCCTGGAGTCTCCCCAAAAGGCCTAAAACCCTATAAACCCTGAAGCCCCTGAAGGCGCTACGTAGGGTGGAGGCCGGGCGCGCGGGGGGGGATTTGGGCTCTGAAGTTTGGTAGCTGGGTTTAGGGTTTAGGGTTTAGGGGTTTAGGGTTTAGGGGTTTAGGGTTTACCGTTTAGGGTTTAGGGGTTTAGGGGTTTAGGTGGATTGTGGTTGGTGGGGCCTTGGGCTGTGGAGTCTCGGAGTCGGGCTTGAGTCAGTCAGGGCTATTGCTTTGAGATTCCGGGTCTAGGATGCGGTGCCAAAATCCATCATATCAATCTTCGCAGCCCGCAAACTACACACGGCGTTACATCGCTCACCCAGCCTGGACTGATACCTCGGAGAACTTGAAGCAAAGCCCTAAACTCCTAAACCTTCCAACCAACTCCTGCCCCCAAACCCTCAAACACTAATTCCTGAACCCCTAAACCCCTAAACCTCTAAACCCCAAAACCCCAAACCCCTAAACCCCAAAACCCCTAAACCCCAAGGGAGACCAGGGCTTCATGCTCTTCCAAACGTAAGTCAAGGAAGGATGCCCCTGATCGAACCCCGAATAAAGCAGAACCTCCCATCTACATATTAATCAAACTGGCAACAAATAGCAATAGTACAACCAATACTAAGCCTTTGTCAAAACCACCGACAAACTCAGCAGTAATCGTCATAGACATAGTAGCAATAGTTGAAATAGTACGAACAAGGGCAATGATACTGGTACTGAGCTTATTAAACTGTAATACCAGCCCATTCAAAGTAGTGACAAGAAAAATTAATCATAGGAATGAAGAAAGCACCGAGGATCGAGGCCCCGGCTCCATGCGTTGCTTGGCCTCTGGTCCCCGCGTAGATCGGTAAAAAAGCATCAGGTTCTCCTTCAGAGCCTGGCGTTTAGGGTTTTTGGCGGCTTTTCCCTTAGCTTTGGACCCGGAAGCCTAAAGTCTAGGCCCTCATGAGGCCTTTTTTTGGCTTTGGAAGAGGATGTATGCGCTGGGTTTGTTAGAGTCTGAGGGGGGCTAGGCTTGACTATAGTTTTAAGTGCGGTCTAAGGTGAAGGTAAGGTCGAAGGTGCAAAATGCATGATCGTTCACCTAGCCTCCCCCTAAAGGCCCTAAATCCCCAAAACCCTAAACTCTAAACCCTACACCCTCATACCTAGAGTCTAGATCCAAAATCCAAAACCCCAACCCTACTTCCTGAACCCTAGACGGCTTTCACTTAGAACCCCTAAACCTCCCGTAGACCGCAGAAACCTCAAAAACTGTCAAACGACCTCCAAAGATTCGGCTACCGCACTTAGACTAAGCTTCTTGCATGTCTTGCAAAGATTATAGAGTCTATAGAGACCAGAAAGAGATGATTTAGGGTTTAGGGTTTGAGGTTCAGGGTTTCGGGGTTAACTAGGCTTTCGGAGTGTAGAGTACTCGTCATTCAACCCCCTAAATCAGGTTTAGGAGTTCTGAACGGGCGCAAGTCGCCCTGCCTCTGTGTGAGGCATTCGCTCGGCTGCCAGGACTGCCTGACAGGTGGTCGAGGGTCAGTTGTTTTTTTACATGGGGTAGTTGAGGGGCTGAAAGGGGCTTTGGGATTCAGACCTAAGGCTAAGGCTTACAGCGTTCGAGTTGCAGGGTTTCGGGTTTGAGGTGTAGGGTTCCATCCAGGGTTGGGGGTTGAGGGTGCAGCAGGAAGGCAGAACCTACAAAGACGCCGGGCACAGCTGAGCACTCAGCACCGGCAGGCGTCCACCCGATAGCCCTAAACCCGAGCCCCTTCCCAGTGCCGGCACCCCACACCCGAGAACGCTCCCAACTAAAACAGCCCACAGCTGAGTCCAAGAGCCCTTGCTCTACGTGTCATGTAGGGGCCCGAAAAGTTAGAATAGAGTTTTTTTGGGTTCCTTTATTATAGGTATGAGTATAATAAAGAACCTTAGGAATTGCACTGGCAGGTGCTTCTATACTAGGAGGGTTTGTGGGCAGGAGTCCCTCCCCCCACTTCCATAATGTACCCCTGTTCCAGCTCACGTTGCCTCGCGGGAAAATTTGGGCGAGGTGGCTTTGCAAGACACCGAAACCCCGAACCCAAACCCTAGGCCCTATAACCCTAAACCCCTAAACACTAAACCCCTAAACCCTAAACTATAAACCCTAAACCCTAAACCCCTAAACCCCTAAACCCTAAACCTAAACCCCTAAGCCCTAAACCCTAAGATGCAACACCGCATGCCAAACGCCTCCTTCGCACAGCGCAGCGCCTCAGGCCAGGGCTTTTCTTCGTGGGCATACCCATAGGCTCCTGTTGGGGTTAGGGTTTAGGGTTTTCGGGTTTAGGGTTTACGGTTTAAGGTTTAGGGTTGTAGGATTCTAAACGTAAACCATAAAAAGGAACTACTTAGGGGCCTATGGGTAATGTAGCAGCCCGAATGCATACTAATAGCATTCTTCAGGGTCACCCATCATAATGCTACTATAGCATACCCCCAAACCCTGTTCTAGTTTTGAAAACGCCTATACTCCAACCTACATTGTTCACTTAACGTCTCAAACCCTCAACTCTCTGGAACTAAAACGTGTCGGACCCCTAAACTCTAAGCCCGAAGACCTAAACAATCGAACATGAACCTTAAACCCTAAACCCTCGGACTATCCTGGCAGGTCGAAGCACTGGAGCGGGGGAAGGGACATCAAGACCCTGCAACATCATGAATTAGGGTTTAGGGGTTTAGGGTTTAGGGTCCCTAAGCCCCAGGCCCCTAGGTCATAAGAGAAGCTCTTGTCACTTAATGAGGATATGAACAGGACCCTAACTGACATGTCAATTGCAAGAACGAGGGTTTACTATTCAGTTATTACTACTCAGGTTACTGTTCGGGGCCATACATTGGCACTAGCCGCACAAGCTCAAGCTTTTTGGCCATACTAGGTGGTTTAGGCTTTATCAGGGTCTAGCCGCCGAATCCGTTTTGCAAGAGGGATCAGCAGATGGTTGCGGAAGTGAGGCTAGATTGAAGGGCATAAACATACGTATCCTACCGTTGGTGCCGCGCTAGGGCTTCGATCGGGAGGACTTCGTACAGCCACGTATGACACTACAGCCTGCAAGAAACAAAAACCTTAAACACCAAGCCCTGAACCACAAGCCCCTAAACCCTAAACCCTTGAACAACAAGCCCTGAACCATAAGCCCCAAAAACACCAAGCGCAAAGCCTCTAAGTCAAAAACTCGAGGCCATATCAAGCCCTCATCTCGAAACCTTTACAGCACCTTTATAGTGACTCTGATCGTAGCCCGTAATGGAACCGTTAAACCCTAAACCCTAAATAACCCTAAACCCTAACCCGTTAGAGGAGCCCGAAAAGTAACCTTAGAGGGTTTTCACTCCCGTGCGCCTCAGGCGGGAAAGAAGCCAACCGGGCAGCCAAGGCATCGACGTGTGCCTGCGGCTTAGGGTTTGGGCTCTCCGGCTTTCGGATTCAAGGTGAGATCCCTAAACCGTATTTAGGGTTTATAGGGATTTAGGGATTAAGGGTTTAGGGATTTAGGGTTTGAGATCTTCTACAACACCAGTGGTGTATCTCGGCCGTCCTGGCGCTATATCCTCTCACCCTAAACCCTTCAACAACCTGCAAGGGACCCGGAAATGACACTGGAATTACAAATATAACCGTGAATAGCCAAAGTAAACAACTTCATTGTGCGTGTGCGCATGTGTATATGTACATATACGTACACATACAATGACGCATATAGACAGGTTATGCATGCATGCATGCATGTATGTATGCACGTATGTACGCTTGTGTATGTGTATGCATATGAATTTGTATGTGTATATGTACATGAGTATGTATATGTACATGTATATGTATATGTATACTGTATATGTATGCATGTATGCATGTATGCATGTATGTAAGTAAGTAACTATGTATAAACAACCTGAAACCCTAAACCCTAAACCCTTAACCCCGAACCCTGAACCCTAAACCCTCTAAACCCTAAACCCTTTAAACCTTAGACCCCTAAACTGTAAACCCCTAAACCCTATAAACCCTAAACCCTAAACCCTAAACCCTAAACCCTATTAACCCTTAACCCTAAACCCCTGGACCCTATACGCCCTAAACCCTAAACCCTATAAACCCTTAACCCTAAACCCCATAAACAACTTAACACCCTAAACCCTAAACCTTAAACCCTAAACCCTATAAACAACCTGAAACCCTAAACCCTAAACCTTAAACCCTAAACCCTAAACCCTACACCTATAAACCCTAAGCCCTAAACCTTAAACCCCATAAGCCCTAAACCCTAAACCCTGTAAACTATAAACCCTAAACCCTGAACCCTATAAGCCCTAAACCCTAAACCTTAGACATTATAAGCCCTAAGCCCTAAACCCTATAAACTAAAACCCTAAACCCTAAACCCTATTAACCCTAAACCCTAAGCCCCTAGACCCTAAACCCCTGAAACCCAGTCTTTCTTCCAGCGCCGGGCTGCTCGAAGCCGTGCTTTGTCTTCGAAGCAGCGGTTGAGGAGACCCCAGCGCTCCTGTGTTTAGGGGTTTTAGGGTTTAGGGGTTTTAGGGTTCAGGGTTTGAGGGTTTAAAGGTTTTAGGGTTTAGGGGGGTTTTAGGGTTTGGGGTTTAGAGGTTTTAGGGTTTAGGATTTAGGAATTTAGGGTTTAGGGTTTCGGGTGGGCATTGCGGAGTTTACGGTTTGGGTTTTGGGTTTAGGGGCTCCTTGGGAATTTAATGGTTACTACAGGGGGGGCTGGTATATGGGGTAGAATAAGGGTTCTTTCATCTATAGGGTTTAGGTTTCAGGGGTTTAGGTTAGGGCCAGGGGTTTGGGGCTTCGGCTTCAGGGTTTAGCCTCCTGGGATTAAGGTTTTGGGTTTTTGCGGCTTCTTTAAGGTCCTGTGTTTATGCTAACGCTTTCGCTCTTCCTTCTGGGTACTTTGAGATTCATGGGTAGTTATAAGTGGAGCTATAAGTCCCCTAACATGGGCAGACCTAAACCCTAAACCCTAAACCCCCTAAACTCCAAGAGGTCTGAGGGATTCATCCTGAAGGCAAGCCTGTGTCCAAAGGATTCTGTCGTTCATGGCCGCTTCCCCCAACCAAGGAAGTCTCCGCCCCTGAACCCTTATAGTACCCCTTTCTTGCACCCTGATAGATCCCTATAGTACCCTTATAGATCGCCTTACAATGCCCTCATAGATCCCTTATAAGGTACTTTGTATAGATCCCGTATAAAGTACTTTTTATAGATCCCTTATGGCCCCCCTTATTTATGGATCCCTTGTTATAGGAGCCGAATAGGAACCCTTGTACACCCAGCCGCTCACCCAGACAAACACTTCTTCAGACTTCACCTCCTCAGACGGAAACCTAAACACCCCACGGCCTGGCACCCAAGCCCTGTTTAGGGTCTAGGGGTCTAGGGGTTTTGGGGTTGAGGGGTTGAGGGTTTAGGGGCTTAGGGTTTAGGGTTTCGGGTTTAGGCCTCAAAAGCTGGCACGCTTTAAATGCATACCTCACTGCTAAAATCATTGACGCTCATGGTGCTACCCCACAGCCAGTGTCCTACAAATACAAGGATATCCCAAAGTTAAGACTCCAAATAGCCCAAAGTAGGTCCCCTTGATGGACTTTAGACCCCAAAGTAGGTGAATAGGAAACTTGGAGTCTTAGTCTTAGGTAGTCCCAGCCTAAATCAAGCATGCTCCTGCAGAATACCTGTCCGAGCGTCTGCTGTCTGGGCATCCACATCATCTCCAGACAGCACCACCTGAGTTGAAAGATGCTGAAGGCATCGGCGCACACCCTGAACCTGACACAGATTTGGGAATTTCCGAAAATTAGGGGTACCTTATCTTGGCGTCCTTATAATGGGGATCCTTTTATTTAGGGTACTCTGTTAGGGTCCCCTATTTTCGGAAACCCCCCCATTTGCGAAAACAAAGCCGAAGCTTACTCGTGAGGGTTAGGATCTGCAGACCCTCAGGCGCCCTCAAACATACAAAACAGTTCCCGAAGTCTTTTAGGGTTTAGGGTTTAGTAAGGGTTGAGGGTTCAGGGTTTAGGGTTTAGGGTTTAGGTTTAGAAGTCTGGAGCTGCTGACACAGGCTTTCGGGCCATAAACGTGAATACGGAACCCTCAGCCGAGACCCTCGACGCACCAGTCCGAACCACACAGACCCGAATCTCAAACAGACCCGACATCCCACCCTAGATACCTACAGCCCCTAATCGCAAGCCCCAGAACCCCAAACTCCCAAACGTATAAAACCCTCTTCACCCTAAAGCCTAAATTTCTGTACTCTAAACTTCTAAACACCCTAAACCCTAGATGCGGAACCACTTGATTATGACTACTGGAAGCCCCAGAGCCCTTAATAACTAAGCCCCTCGATGCCCACGCTGCGTAAGCCCTGTACGACTATAGGGTGTAGGGTTTAGGGTTTAGGGGTTTAGGGTTTAGGACTTACGGTTTAGGGTATGGGGTTTAGGGTGTAGGGTGTAGGGTTTAGGGTTTAGGGGTATAGCCTCCATCGCCCGGCCAGCACCCAGCAAGCGCCGGAGATTCCTCGCTGGTCCCACACGAGTGCATTGTACAAACGGTTGACGGTGTGAGGACTTCATAGGGTTTGGTGGGGAGGGATCTACAATTAGGTTCAGGGTTTAGGATACAGACTTCATAAAAGCTTTCTATGCCTAGACAAGCATTTCAAGGAGTTACAAAAGCTTTTGTAAGAGTTAACAGCAATAGCCCGTTGTGAGGTGGCACCTGTCTCAAACCTCGTTGCGGAGTTGCTTGGCACAAAAAGCTATAATATGGTACAGAATTGTGAAATATACTTTAAACGGATATAAGATAGTGTAATTATAAATATAGCATAGTATAGTATAGTCTAGTCTAGTCTAGTCTAGTCTAGAACAGTATGGTCAGTATGGTAGAGTATAGTCTCGTATAACACAGTGGGTCTAATATAGTACAATGAAGTATGCCATTGTAGACCATAGCACAATATAGTATAGTCCAACAGATCTCCGAATATTAACATGGTACTTAACAAGGTATTATAGTATAGTCTTTGCATGCTCATCGCCAGTCTGTCTCCGGAAGATCATACATGCTCCGCGAAATTATGAAAGGCTACTCGTATGGCCTGGGAGGATTTTAACTACATGCAATCTCCGTGCGTAGATAAACCCCACTTCACACATGGACCTGTGGCATGGACAAATATCCAGTGCTCTCCATACACAAGCTGAGGTGTGATTGCGAGCCCGGATGGCTGAGTTTGTATGGTACCTCCCACCACGCAGCAAATTGCATACCGAAGCTGCTAATCCAAAAGCATCTTTCCACGCTGAACTCTCAAAAGCCATGCCTCAAGGGAATTCTCCTGAAATCGATCTCCCAAGGAAGAACCTCGACAGCCGAAATCCGACGCATGAGCTCCTTTATAACACAATTTCAATAAGGAGCCCTAACCAATTATAAAGTTGGTGATTATTTAGGCTGCTACATTACGGGCTACGATCAGGGTCCTTGGAGGAAGGTACTGATAGTTGGAATAATCATCGCTGCAATACCCTAGACCGGAATATGTGCGCAAGACGTACTTGACATTGCGCCGTGAGACCCAAAGAGTAGCCCTAACCCCCCAGGTACCTACTATATAGGGTACTAGATCCCCCTAGGGCCCTTTATAGCAGGTACCTGGAGGGTTAGGGTAGGTTCAAGCCGTGGTGCACGCAGGCGCCACCCCCTGGAAGGATGCCAAGCGGGACCTCCATCTGACCTTGGGATGCTAAACCCGAAACCCTTACAGGTTCTAGCCTCTGTGGCCCAACAAAATTTAAGCTTTCGAAGACTTTGGTGAGGCAGATTGAACCTCTGCTACAGTGACAACCCACCCTATACCCTGAACCAGTCAGCCTGAAAGCGAACCCGGAACCCTAAACCGTCAACTCCACACACGATGTCCGATCTTCCTGCCCTGCCAGCCCCCGGATTTAATGAATAGAGTTTTGAGGGGGTATATTATACTTTATACTATGATCATAATATTGAACCCCAATATAGTATAGATAATTATTAAAGCCCCTATATTCGGATATCCTACGTCGGGGCTCTCCCACTCGGATTCTTTGATTTTTCACGCCGAAGATACACAAATAGACAGCACCAAGAAGCAGATCTTGGTCACACCATAGACCCCGAAGCGCATGTCAAAGTTGAGGGCGAACTCGTGCCCTGGACCACAAGGGGTCTTCACAGGAAGCCCTAAACCCTAAACCCTGAAACCCAAAACCCGAAACCCTAAGACATGAACCCTAAAGCCTAAACCCGAAGACATACACCCTAAACCTTAACCCTAAAACCCCAAGACATAAACCCTAAACCTTAAACTCTAAACCCTAAACCCTAAAACCGTAAGACATAAACCCTAGCCTAAACCTTATACACTCTAAAACCCTAAACCCTAAGCCCCGAAGGCGAGGCTGAGAGAGTGACAGAGACGACCGGCTTGACGGCCAAATCTAAAACCCCCAAAATGCTCCCTGAATGCCCCCAAAGCGTAGAAGAACCGTTTAGGGTTTAGGGCGTATAGGGCTTAGGGCTTCTAGGGTTTGGGGCTTATAGGGCTTCGGGCTTATAGGGTTTAGGGTCTAGGGTTTGGGTACGCTGCATATTCCTAAAACCTCAACCACTTCGGCATCCTCCTGTTGCCACATCTTCGAAGGTGCGTCAGACAAAAGCCGGAGAGGGGCGCTGGGTTGGACACTCGGGTATCGAACGTAGCTCCCTTCAGTAGCCAAGGTATCCTGAATTTCGGGTTTGGGGTTTAGGGTTTTGACGAATTGTTGGGAGGGTCATATCCTTTCTTCAAGGCACTTTGGTTAGTCTGGGTCGCCCCTAAACCCTAAACCCTACAACCTAAACCCTAAACCCTAGAGCCCTAAATCCTACACCCTAAACCCTAAACCCTACACCCTAAACCCTAAACCGCAGCAAGTTGACATGGCATCGATGCTTCGAATATCGGGGCTGCTTGTTCCGGCTCAGACCCTCCGCCCTCAAAACCCTGAGGAGGCCATGGGATGCTTATAAGAGCTTAGGGTTTAGGAGTTTAGGGCTTTACGGTTTTAGGGTTTAGGGCTTTAGGGTTTTAGGGTTTAGGGCTTTAGGGCTTTAGGGTCCCGGGTTTTAGGGTTTAGGGCTTTAGAGCTTTAGGGCTCTAGGGCTTTAGGGCTTTAGGGTTTTAGGGTTTTAGGGCTTTAGAGGTTCCGAGCCCAGCCTTCTCGAGGCATCATTAGGCCTGTCGGAAATGCCGTGTCGATGATCGAGTTTACCTAGGGTTTTAGGGTTTAGGGTTTAGGGCTTAGGGTTTAGGGTTTTTAAAAAATCTTCAGGTCCAACACTCCCTGCAGGCCTAGGGAGGATAACAACCAAAATAAGTTTAGAAAAGCTGGGGCTCACTTCACTTGCCACTACATCGCAACCCTACACCCCAAATCACAGAAACCCATAAACCCTAAACCCGAAATCCCCAAGCCCGTAAACCCAGAAACCCTAAACCCTAAACCCCTAAAGCCTATATACCCCTCAACCTTAAACCCCTGAACCCTAAACATCCTTAAACCCTAAACCCGGTTAGCGGCCCCGTATGTCAAAGCTCCTCCACCACCGACTCGGCCGGCTATCTCTGCGATTGTCGCCTGAGACGTAGGACTGAGTACTTGGAGGGTCCAGGAAAAGGGGTGCCCATGTTGTTGAGGGCTTACTGGCGTCAGTGAACCCCCAAAACCCCAAAGCGCGGGATGTAGGGGCCTCAACAACTGGAGCAGGGTTCCATTAAAGGGTGCTGTAGTGGGTTACTCTAAAAGAGTACTATGGCAGCTGAGCATAGGGGCGTTAACACAATAACAAAACGGTGTTGCGTGGTACCTTGTAGTATAGTTATAATTGGGCTCCTTATGAAAATTGGAGCCCTGAGGAATAATACTGGTGATGATTAGGCTTCTATATTACTTTGATGGTCGGGGGACTGAGTAAGTAGGTAA